TATTATTATTATTATTATTATTATTATTATTATTATTATTATTATTATTAACAGTCAGTGTCCTATAGTCAGTGTCCTACAAACAGTGTCCTACAGACCGTGTCCTACAGTCAGTGTCCTACAGTCAGTGTCCTACAGTCAATGTTCTACAGTCAATGTTCTAGAAACAATGTTCTACAGTCAATGTCCTACAAACAGTGTCTTACAGTGTGTGTCCTACCGTGTCCAACAGTCAGTGTCCTACAGTGTCCTACAAACAGTGTCCCACAGTCAGTGTTCAGCAGTCAGTGTCCTACAAACAGTCTATGTTCTACAGTCAGTGTTCTACAGTCAATGTTCTAGAAACAGTGTTCTACAGTCAATGTTCTACAGTCAGTGTTCTACAGTCAATGTTCTACAGTCAATGTTCTACAAACAGTGTTCTACAGTCAATGTTCTACAGTCAGCGTTCTACAGTCAATGTTCTACAGTCAATGTTCTACAAACAGTGTTCTACAGTCAATGTTCTACAGTCAATGTTCTACAGTCAGTGTTCTACAGTCAATGTTCTACAGTCAGTGTTCTACAGTCAATATTCTACAGTCAATGTTCTACAAACAGTGTTCTACAGTCAATGTTCTACAGTCAATGTTCTACAGTCAGCGTTCTACAGTCAATGTTCTACAGTCAGTGTTCTACAGTCAATGTTCTACAGTCAATGTTCTACAAACAGTGTTCTACAGTCAGCGTTCTACAGTCAATGTTCTACAAACAGTGTTCTACAGTCAATGTTCTACAGTCAGCGTTCTACAGTCAATGTTCTACAGTCAATGTTCTACAAACAGTGTTCTACAGTCAATGTTCTACAGTCAATGTTCTACAGTCAGCGTTCTACAGTCAATGTTCTACAGTCAGTGTTCTACAGTCAATATTCTAGAAACAGTGTTCTACAGTCAGTGTTCTACAGTCAATGTTCTACAGTCAGCGTTCTACAGTCAATGTTCTACAGTCAATGTTCTACAAACAGTGTTCTACAGTCAATGTTCTACAGTCAATGTTCTACAAACAGTGTTCTACAGTCAATGTTCTACAGTCAGTGTTCTGAGTCTTTTGGGAGAGGGGAGTAGCGAGGGATCAGAGGGCGGCTCAGATTGGCTAGGAAGTAAGAAAGTGGGTCTTTGAGGAAAATAGGTTGGAACCACTGGACTAGTCGGTGCTGTGAAGACTCACGGTGGGGGTTTGGTAGGTCGTCCATCAAATTTGTCCTTCAGCTGTCTCTCAGCCTTGGTGAGGACAGAGCGGACGTGGTCTTCTGAGTGGACGTCTGGGTGGGCTTCGTGGTATGTTCTCATACTGTCCTGCAACACAGAGTTCAACCATCAGACCGGCACAGGACACAGTGGAGCCCCCTCCAGGTAGATAAGGGGGACAGTTGGTCCTCCTGGTGGTTCTGCTACCTCGTAGTCTTTCTGCAGCTCCAGGGCCTTGCTGATCCACTTCAGCCTCCTCTTGTCGGACAGTTGGGACCACTGTCTTCTCAGGGCCTCCTTCAGCTCCTTCTGACTCACCTGCAGATACAGAGACCTACTTCTGAACAAGACCCAGGACTTTCAAAACCCCAAAAGTCACATTTCCTGTGAAACTGTTGAGGAAGACCATCAGGCGAGACATCGGTCTGGAACCGAGTACCCCCCCCCCCCGTGTGTTTGTGTGGGGCACCTCTGGATGCAGCTTCATGTAGGTCTTCTTCTCGTGGTTGTACCACAGCTGTTGGGGGGTCTTGGGTTTTTCTGGCAGATCGGTCTTCTTCCTCTCCTCCATGAGCTCTGGATGCTCTTCCCTGCAGGTGAGCCAACATTAGCAGAGTCATGTGCTAACACGGCCCATTAGCGTGTCAGAACCGGGTCACTCACTTAAACCGAGCCATGTTCCTCTCAAAGTCCTCCTTCTCCTGCTGGAACTCACTGATGTACTTTTGCTGCAGGAAAAAACAAACAATTCTGTTGACAAATGATGTGAGATCTGCTCCAGAGTCTTGGTGCGGGTTCTGGTCCAAACCTTCTTCTTGTCCGGCAGCTCCTTGTACTTCTTGGACAGGATCTTGGTCAGATCTAGGTTGCTCATCTCCGGGTGGATTTTGGCATATTTGGCTCGTTTCTCCATGAAGAAGCGAAAGTATGGAGTTAAGGGCTTCTTGGGGAAGTCCGGGTGGGTCTGGACAGGACAAAGATCAAAGGTCATGCCTGTGTCCAGAACTCTTCAGGTCCAGTTTCTGGTGCAGCAGGTCCAGGACCATCAAAGCCTCACAATGTCTCACCTTCAGTTTCTTGCCTTTGTATGGGTTCTTCACAAACTCTGTGGCGTCCACGATGAGTTCCGTCATCGTTCTGTACTTCCGAACCTGGACAAAAAATCTGAACGTTAAAAACTGGAACCTCCAAAAAGGTTCTGGAAAGAACCGATCCAGGCAGGTCTGAACCAGATCACGTCACTGCTACAGTACCTCCGAGGAGACCTTCTGCCATTTCTGCCGGCACATGTCTCCAGAGAACTGTCCAAAACCAACTTTGTCCCAGTCGAAGTGCGACTCCGTGGTTTTATACTTCATGGTGTCTCCTTCAGGAAGGAGGGTCCGGATCCGGTCCAACAGGGCCAGACAGTCCTCCTTACTCCACTGTTCTACAGACAGGTGAGAGAGTCAGACAGGTTCACTTCAATTCAATCCAGTTTATTTCTAAAGCTCCAAGTCACAACAGAAGTCGTCTCAGGGACTGAACACAAACAATCATGTATAAAATAATAATTGAACAGAAACATTCATCTATAAAATAATAATTAACAGAAACATTCATGTATAAAATAATAATTGAACAGAAACATTCATCTATAAAATAATAATTGAACAGAAACATTCATCTATAAAATAATAATTGATTAGAAACATTCATCTATAAAATAATAATTGAACAGAAACATTCATGTATAAAATAATAACTGAACAGAAACATTCATGTATAAAATAATAACTGAACAGAAACATTCATGTATAAAATAATAATTGAACAGAAACATCGATGTATAAAATAATAATTTAACAGAAACATTCATGTATAAAATAATAATTTAACATTATTTATCTGAGGAGCAGCTTTGAGTTTAACTCCATCACTGAACTCTCATCTTGAACAAGCATGAAGGCGACAGTGGAAAGAAAAACTCCCTCATGAGGAAGAAACCTTTAGCAGAACCAGGATCAGGACAAGAGGACCATCTGCTTCTACCGGCTGGGTTTGGTAGGAATAGATACACAATGGCAGGTCAAGAATCACATGCTAAGATAGAAATAGTATCAAATGAAAACTATTCAGTTTTAACAATTCATTTAAGAAATGAGGTCAGTTTGTCCTCCAGTAGTCTAAGTCTATAGCAACATAACAAGCCGACCCTAACTATAGGATTTATGAAAAAGGAAAGTTTTAATCCCAGTCTTAAACTGGACAATGTGTCAGCCTCATGGACAGAAACTGGAAGTTGGTTCCACAAGAGAGGAGCCTGAGAACTGGAAGATCTTCCTCCCATTCTGGTTTTGGAAACTCTAGGAACCACAAGTAAACCTGCAGCCTGAGAGCGAAGTGCTCTGTTAGTAAAATATGGAACGATAAGATCTGTAATATAAGATGGAGCTAGGTTGTTGAGGGCTTTGTAGGTTAGAAGTAAGATGAAAGGGAGTTCTCTCCAATGGAGAGAAGCTAAAACTGGAGAGATATGATCTCTCCCAGTAACTCCAGTTAAGACTCTGGCACAAGGCCGGATTAACCATATGGGTTATATGGTTATATATAGAGTTGCCCATATATATCAAATATATATGGGCAACTGCCCAGGGGCCCATGATCTCTAAGGGGCCCAGAGCAGAAGTCATTCTGGTTCTATTTCATATAGGCTTCGCCCTTTAAGGCTGTCGCTGATGGGTTTATCCCGTTATGCAGAGCATAAGCACTGAAAAAATTTAGTCCACGCCCACCTGCTGTGTGGGCCCCACCCGGTCCGTATAAATTACGTTAAGAGCGGGAAATCGGCTCCCATTTTTTCTTCAGCGAGCTAATATAGCACTGTCAGAAGAACAAAGAAGATAAATTGTGTAAATGAC